GTGTCAAAAAGGGGAGGGGGGAAATAAACTTATGTAAGGGGATAAAAGCTGATGAATGCTTTGTTCCGTGTCCACTTTCTGTGCACCTGTGTTTGCAAATACGTGAATAAACTTCTTTGCTGCTTTCAATTATTGTTGTCTCGGGTAGTTCCATATGCGAACCTGCACTGTTTATAACAATAAGAAGGTCGGAATCCTTTAACGCACAATGCAGAGGAGCCCAGGCAGACAAACCTAAAAGGTAAGGCCACCATCCCTTTTTCAATACTGTTTGATTTGTCGAAAGAGATACTAAATCTTAAGCCCACTTTGGAGGCTTTCCTCTGGAGAAGCTGTCAGCTGAAATCCTCCTAAGTAAATTGGAGCATTTGCTTTTCAGAGGGCTTCTACCCCACAACCTCCTTTTCAGCCACTAGCCACAGTGCCTAACCACTCAAGCTATAGAAGCAGGCGATGTCATGATTGTTGCGGTGGCGCAGTGGTTTGGCTTTAATTTATAGCGTTAGCGTGCTGTACAGGCTACTTCTGCTGACTGTCGGCTGCCTGCAATTTGGCAGTTCGAATCTCACCAGGCTCAAGGTTGACTCAGCCTTCCATCCTTCCAAGGTGGGTAAAATGAGGACCCAGATTGTTGGGGGCAATTATGCTGACTCTGTAAGCAGCTTAGAGAAGGCTGTAAAGCACAGTGAAGCGGTATATAAGTCCAAGTGCTATTGCTATTGCTATTACAAGTAGTCCTTAACTTAGCATCCAGAATTGGGATCACAATTTCTGTGGCTAAGTAAAGTGGCTGTTAAGTAAGTCGCACCCAATTTTATGACTTTTTTTTTTTTACCCCTGGTTGTTAAGCAAATCACTGCCATTGTAAAGTGAATAATCTTCTAGTCGTTGAGCAAATCTGGCTTCCCTCACTGACTTTTGCTTGTCAGAAGATGGTTGGGAAAGTCACCAATGGCAATGACATGAACCGTTGTAAATGTATGCTGGTTGCCAAGCGCCTGATGTTTGATTACATGACCATGATGATGCTACAACAGTCGTAAGGGTGAGGACTGGTTGTAAGTCACCCTTTTCAGTGCCGCTGTATCTTGGGACTGATATTAAACAAACGATTGTAAGTTGAAGACTACCTGTATTGTCAGAGTATATTCATCAACTGGAATAGGACATGGTAACAAGGTCAGCCAATGTATAGGCATAGCAACTAAGTCAGCCAATGAGGGCTGTTTGGGAGCTGAGACAGACTGGAGCCAGGGTGTGTCTTAGTCTGCAGCTTCTGAGTCTGTGCAGAGAACCTGAAACTAGTCTGCTCTGCTGAAATGAAACTAACTGTTCTCTCCTGCTGTGTGTTTTGCTTGCAACTGCTACTACGTTGAAGAAGACTCTATATTGGTATTGTACCTTTATCTTCATGTATTATATGTATATAAAGAAATTAATGAATCCTGCTGAATCAGTTTACCTATGTGTGCTTTCTGGATTTAATTTCGGCAACAAACTCTCATATGTATCATGCTCCAAGGGAGACAAGGAATGTGGTGGGGGCATCACAAAAAAGATAGGATTGACATTTTTCAACTTGGTTTTTGTGTATATAAGGAGTATGAACAATTATACTCCCGATTCTCAATGGGATGGGGGTCTCTGAGGGTCACAAAAAGGAGGACTTGCATGGAACAATATCTAACTGTTCTCAAGAGCAAGGATTGATGAGGGAATAGGGTTCCCAAACACCATTCCTTTCAGTGTGTGTGATGTTAGAAAGGGAAGGATTCCAGTAGACAGCATGAATGGTTGAAATTCTATGAGCCCAGATAAATTCTGGAGAGGGATTGTCTAGGGCTGATACTGCAATGCCAAACAATAGGAGATATGGAAACCTTGAGATAACCTCTTCTCCATCATTTACTCCAGTTAGAAAATCCCATTGCAAAAGGTGGAAGAAGAGATACTTAGGGAAAACTGGTCCAAAATGTATGACCTGGTCCTGTCCTCATCCGCCCCAACGGGCACATGACTTCAAGGATCATTTAAACAACTATATTCTTCTCTCTGTGCACTTCCAGGTGGAGAAGTAGCCTCCAATTGCCTTACAGGGAGGGCTCAGCACAGAGAAATCGCACCTGGCAAAACTCTTTTGCAGCATCAAAACACATGACATCTCCGGCCCTGCCCTGAACCTACAAACAGCAGACTCTCAAAGTCAGCTTTGAAACTCACTTGCAGGCTGAATGTCAGCTAGAGAACACCACTTTGGAACATGCTCAGATCTACCCACTATAAGTGGGAAGAGCTGCGTTTGGGACTTAAAAGGGAAAAGGCAAGGTCTTTTCAAAGGGATCAAGGCTGGCTTGGAGCTAGCAAAATCTTCCTGGCCTCTGAAACCATAAGATCTGACCTGGAATCAGCAGGAGGAAGAAGGAGGGCATGGAACCCCAGGGGTCCTCTCTGCCCCCTTGCTTTCTAAATATAATTTGACCTGAAACTGACTGGCTGGGAGGGGAGGAATGAATAACATCCTCTTTCTCCCTCCATCTCTCTTTCTTTAAAGACCATTATTCTGTAGGCTGTGGCAGGATAAAATGTTCCAGACAGGGCTCTTTGCCTCCTCCACCAAGACCTGAGTACAGGTAGTCCTCGACTTACGACCACAATTGAGCCCAGAATTTATGTGGTTAACTTAGAAATTTGTTAAATGCCCCATTTTACGACTTTTCTTGTCATGCTTATTAAGTGAATCACTGCAACCGTTGAATTATAACACGGTTGTTAAGTGAAATCTGGCTTCCCTGTTGACTTGGCTTGTCAGAAAGCTGCAAAAGACCCCGGGGACACTGCAACCGTCATAAATATGAACCAGCTGTCAAGCATCCGAATGTAAATCACGTAGCCACGGGGATGCTGCAAAGGTCGTAACTGTGAAAAATGGACACAAGTCACTTTTTTCAGTGCTGTTGTAACTTTGAAGGGTCACTAAATGAACTGTTGTTAAGGACTACCTGTATTTACCGATCAGCTTGAATTTCGATTGTCGAGCAATGAAACAGTCCCAGCCTCCACTAGTAATTTTCCCTTATATTGTGAGTGGCACCAAACCTCAAGGAACCAATGTGGTGGCTTGAATCCAACAAGACCCAATTAACCTTGCCTGCCCAGCTTTTCCTCCATCCCCTAATTCAGGCAGCATGCACTCTCTCCCCAGCTGCCTCCTTTCCTAACGAAAAGCTTTTAGGCTGATATAAAGAGCTGCTACGACGGCCTTTCTCTTTGGCTCTTCCAACTTCCCGGCTCTGGCATGAAAGCTGCCCTTTAAGCACTCAGGACTGCAAAGGAGATTTGGGCTGCTAAGAAGCAGGTTGCTGGGCTCAAGGAGGTGGGGGGTGGGGGTGGGAAAAAGGGGAGTGACTCACACCGAGGACAGAAGGAGCACGCCGCAAGGACAGGCACCGAGCACCTGCTGTTCCATGCCAGCCACCATTCTCCTGCGGTTATGACAGGCGGCTCACTTTTTTTTTTTTTTTTTTTTTTTATTTATATGCCGCCCTTCTCCGAAGACTCAGGGCGGCTTACAATGGGCTCAGCAATAGCCTTCATTCTTTTGTATGTTTTATACAAAGTCAGCTTATTGCCCCCACAAACTGGGTCCTCATTTCACCTACCTTAGAAAGGATGGAAGGCTGAGTCAACCTTGAGCCTTGGCGAGATTCGAACCCTGCAGTAATTGCAGGCAGCTGGTCTTAATAATCAGCTTAATAACAGGGTGCCTTAAACCCCTGTACTTACCAATCTCCGCCACCTTTGGAACAGGTTAGAAGCGAGGCAGAGGTGCTCCAAAGGTAGCCGAGGCGATGGGCTTTTCTGCTTAAGGACAGAATCAAGTGGAGGAATCACAATAGCGAGGCTCCACTTAGTGCACGAAGCCTCCTGGGTATTGTCTCTGAAAGCGTAGCTTATTTCCCAGGATTGACAAAAGGGGACTGCGCAATTATAATTATAATTAAGAGCTGTGAATGACCCGCGAAAGAATCTTCTATTTTTTTTTTAAAAAAGGGGGGAGGGGTTTGGAGCAATGATTCTCCCTAACAATACCTGAGGATGGACAATGGTGTCGGAATCGGTCAGTCGGATATTGTCATCTATACAGATATGCTGGACTCTGGGGTCCTGAGGATCTACCCAAATGGGTTTTCCACCTTGGCTGGAATAATTATTCTTAGCCCACCTGCAGCAAAGAAAGAGACATAATCTGTAAATGATCAGCACAGACATGCATTCATTTTGCTCCTTGTACTTCAAGAGAAAAAAAGAAAGAAAGAATGGAAACAAAAAAGGAAGGGAAGAAATAAATGCACACAGGGACATTTATGGTGGTTCCCTTTTTAATTAAAGACCTTTCTTCAATTTATTCTGTTTCTAAGATTCAGGGTTTCAGAGGATTTTGAATATCATTTATTTATAACTTTACCAACTAACAAACAAGGAAAATGATGCCCCGTAAAATGATGGGACAAAAAGTGAACAGCCAGTAAAGGAAGACAAAATGAGCACCTATGGTCTAAATTTCGGCCACTGGAACTGTCCTTGTCACTGTTTCTCAATCCTTTTGCCACAATGTACATAAATTCCCAAGTTTCCGTGTAAAATCATAAGGGCAAAGGAACTAGACTTTGGTTTTCAGAAACAAACAAAACTATCCGGATACCGTATGACTGAAAACAACAACTCTGCATTTAGGAGAATAAGCCAAATACATGAAATATATGCAACTTTTCCTCTCTGGGCAACTAGAGTTGTTTGTGCCCTGCTGAAGAGTACCCAAGAAGAGAGAATCCTGCAGAAAGAAAGAAAGAAAGAAAGAAAGAAAGAAAGAAAGAAAGGAAGGAAGGAAGGAAGGAAGGAAGGAAGGAAGGAAGGAAGGAAGGAAGGAAGGAAGGAAGGAAGGAAGGAAGGAAGGAAAGAAAGAAAGAAAGAAAGAAAGAAAGAAAGAAAGAAAGAAAGAAAGAAAGAAAGAAAGAAAGAAAGAAAGAAAGAAAGCTGTACCAGTATTTGCTGACACTCCAGGATAGTTCCAAAAGAACTAGGAAGTCTTGTTCAGAGCAGAAGCTTTCCAAAACAAGATCAACAAAGGGATATAAAATCCCTGATATATCCAGCCTTGGTTTCACCAGGGCCTGGTGGCTCAGCAGACTAAAAGCATTGTGATTAACACCAGCTGTCTGCAATTACTGTAAATTCGAATCTCCCCAGGCTCAAGGTCGACTCAGCCTTCCATCCTTTCTAAGGTAGGTAAATTGAGGACCCAGTTTGTGGGAGCAATAAGCTGACTTTGTATAAATATATATACAAAAGTATGAAAGCTATTGCTTAACGCACTGTAAGCCACCCTGAGTCTCCAGAGAAGGGCGGCATATAAATCAAATAAAAATAATAAAATAAAATAAAATAAAAAATATTCTTAGCAAATATAACCCAGCATCTTTGAAGACATTCTGTACATTCCAGTGGTGAAATCTAAAATTTGTTACTACCGGTTCTGTGGGCGTGGCTTGGTGTGGGGGGGTAATGTGACTGGCTGGGCATGGCCAATTTTTTTTTTTTTACTTTTAAAACCATTTTTTACATGTAAAACCATGTAAAAAAATGCTTTCAAAAGGCTCTGACGATCCCAGCTGAGTTGCCTGATCGTCAGAGGGTTTTTAAAAAACCCTCTGGCGATCAGGCAACTCAGCTGGGATCGTCAGAGCTTGGTTCATCAGAGGCATTGAAAAGAAAAAAAGCCTCTGATGATCGCGCGGCTCAGCTGGGCATGAGGGGCGGGGCCAGGGATTTTTGCTACTGGTTCTCCGAACTGCCCGCCGCCATCACTACCTACTCGCCCGAGCCGGTCTGAACCGGAAGCATTTCACCCCTGGTACATCCTATTGAATACATATTAGAACATTCCCTTAAATGACCAGTTAAAACCTGCTTCCCTATCAATTCTATCCATTGCTTCTGCCCTTTTAAGTATCAGAAGATAAATCTATTTCACATTTTACACGATGGACCTTCAGACATCTGCCAACAAAACAAGATTTTTTTTCTTCTCCAGATAGAACATCAAATATTCCTCATAAGGTTTAGTTTCTAGAATTCTCTCAACTTTGCAGCCATTGTTTCCTGAGCACCATGCACACCCAATCTTTTTAAATACCTTTAAAATTTCACAGCATGTTGAGTATTTTTACAACGTGGGTACCACGATGGGCATGGACAGTCATCGAACCTTTTACTAGAAGGCAAACAATTAAAGATGCTTCCTATCAACTTTTCTAGTCCCTGGGACGCTGGCAGTCCCAACTTTTGGTTTTGGGGGGTTTGGGCAGGAAACAGTTTCAAAGCATTGGGCTGCAGCCATCGAACATGATTATTTTTTATGAATATATAAAACATCTCTATTGGGCTGAGAAGTCCTATTCTAATTTAGATTATAACTGAGGCTGGCAATTTGCAACATTCCATTTTCCCATATATTTATTCATTCATTCATTTAGACCAGGGGTCAGCAACCTGTGGCCCTGGAGCCGCATGTGGCTCTTTCATCCCCCTGCTGCGGCTCCCTGTCGGCGGTCGGCTCCACAAATTTCGTTTGCTTTCGGTTAGGACAGGTAGAGGAAAAAGGATGCCACGCTAAAAGAAGACTCTATGGTGGGGGAACTGGACTTCTGGTCAGCTCCAGAATTGAATGGGGGGCTTCCGGTTAGGATCTTTGTGGCTCTTTGAGTGTTTAAGGTTGCTGACCCCTGATTTAGACAAATATTTTAAAAGTCAGGCATGAGAAAGGGCCTGGTGGACACACAGGAAACTGCAAGTGGACAACTGATGCTCACAAACACTATACTGAAGATCATAGAAATAGAAATATGTACTGTTACTAAGTAGGTATACTAGAAATAGAAATATATACGGTGACTAAGCTAGGCTCAGATGGTACGAAAGCTAGAGGATTTTTTTCCAAATGAGAAATAAAGGCTACAAATAAATTAGACAGCTTGATAAAGGAGCAAAAGGCAGGCGAATTACTCTTAAAGAGACCTAGCTTGATTTATGATTGAATAGAGGTTGCATACCTACCGGGCAAGATTAACTCACAAAAGACTCTTTAAACTAAATTACTCCAACTCAGTGCCCTGCAGATTGCATGGTCAGTGGAAAGAAAATGTAAAACTTATTTAAAGGCTACCAGATGGGGAAGACCATTTCCTGGACCAGACTCAGCAAGTTATAGAAGCAAGAAAACCCGCTACTTATAATTCCAGGTATCTTGGCTGAAGTAAAGCCATTAAATGCCAAGGAAGAAAGACTTAAATCAATCTGTCAGGAAAAAAAAAAAAAACCCTGTGGAACTGCAGTTAGGAAGTAAAAGGGTAATTGTTTTAGTATTAATGGCTTCCATCAGGCTGAAAATATACACTAATAGGAGTCTTTATTTTTAGTGTGATACAAGAAGAATATTTTAAAAAGCTCACTGGATTGTAATCTGTTCCTACAGATAAATCCTCATTTAGCAATCATTGTTGCGACTGGCAATTCTGTTGCTTAAGCACTGCAGTCAATAATGATGTCACATGGCCATGATGGACCAGCAGTGAAATCCGTCCGGATCTATTTGGCTCCCGCAAACCGGTAGGGTCGGTGGCGGGAGGCTCCGCCCACCCGCTGGGACATCATTACATCCTGTTTTTGAAGAGGAGTGCATGTGCAGAAGAGGCGTGCGCTCACATTTCCGAACTGGTAGCGAAGGTAAGTGCATTTCACTGGTGTGATGGACTAATGTCATCATTTGGTTGTTGAGCAAACCGCTGCAACCTCACGGGACCACAACTTAAAATTTTATTTCTGTGTTCTCCATTAACTCCGCTTGTCACAAGCCGCTTGCCAAGCACAGAAATGGCAATCACATGACTGTGGGATGCTGCAATGGTCATACATGCGAGGATTGGTTGCAAGCTGGTTTTTTTAGACCAGAGGTTCCCAACCTTTTCTATACCCCGCACCCCTAGAACGCTTCTGATATATTCTCGCACCCCTTACAAAAGTAAATAATTACATATGCATATAATTATGCATATACACTATGATTTTAAAACTTCTAAACCCAGGTTTTCCCTGGAATATTGTCTTGTTGGGAACCCCTGTTTTAACGTGTCATAACTTCAAAGAGTTGCTAAATAAGGCGGTCAGTAAGAAAGGATTACCCGTGTTCGTTGCTAAAAAAGCCAACCACTGTAAATAAAAGTAGGCCAACAAGGAAGCACGTATCTCACCATTCAAAGTGGTCCTGGAAACCACTGATGCCTTCCCTGGAGCTGAAATAGGCATACATTTTCCTGCATCCGTCGTCGCTGGAGAGCTGCTCGGCTCCATGACTCAATGCCACTTTTTTCTTGTTGCAACGTATCTTTCCAAGTCTGAGATCTATAGGCAACTGCGGTGAAAAATAACAAGAGAGATAGAAGAAACACTATTCAAAGCACAAATCCTAGATGGCCTCAAAGAGGCTGAGATGATCAAGTAGAGGGGAATTTAAGAAACGCGACCAGAAGGAATAGAAAAGGCCACCTCTCTCTAAGTGGATAAAGGCTAAGGTTGTATATGAAGCGATATTTGATAATTTTTATCGCCAGCGTTTAATCAGGCTTATACTAAAAGCAGGTAATGATGGTATTCAGTGTGCTCATTATCGTCCAATCTCTTTAATTGACGTTGCTACAAAGATTTTTAACAGCAGTGCAGGCAAATAGATTACAGCAAGTGGTACAGTTTGTTATTAATAATGACCAAGCAGGGTTTATAAAAACTGGGCAAGCAGCAGATAACATTAGAGCAGCCTTTGATCTAATAGATTTGAATAAAAATAAAGCTCAAGTAAGATACTGGAAAGGTCTTTGATAAAATACATAAACATTGCACTCTTACCGCACTAAATAATTTGCTATGGAGTTCATAAAACAGACTAATATGAATCGCCAATATCTAAAGTGAAGATTAATAGCATGTTTTTCTCCCATTTTTTTTCCCATTATTTAGAGGAACTGGACAAGGAAGCTTTTTAATATTTGCACAGAACTCTTAGCTTGTTCTATTAGACATCATAGAGAGATCTATAGAGAAGGATAGAAGTCCTTTGAATAAAAAATGGGTTTTATTTTTAGGTGACATTCTTTTGTTTATTTCTGAACCTTATAATACTATCCCAGTGTTAATGCAAAAGATTAATGCCTTTAGCAAAATAGTTACTCTATTAACTGGTCCAAATTGGAACCGATGCCTTTAAGTGAAAAATTGTTTATCCATCCATTTAAGGAATATTAAACACAATCACAATCACTCCACGTACATATGGAAACATATGACTAGTTTTTTTCCCCCAATTACTTGTATAAGGATTATTCTCTATATACTATTCATGTTGTCTTGTATTTTCTGTTATGGATTCCACCAGTAGAGGCTAAACCAATTTCGTTGTATACATGATATACAATGACAATAAAGGCTATTATTATTATTACTGTATTATTATTATCTTTATTCATTAAATATGAAACTCAGTCAACTGAACATTCAAAAATGCATCACAAATACCATTGACTGGTGCTAATGGTTGATACGGGTTGCTGCCAGCATCCTAGGTATCAACCAAGTACCTTCTTAAGATGTACAATGTCCCAAGTAGCACAGTTTTATAATATTATTTATTAATTTATTATTATTAATAATAATAATTCTATTTTTGTCTGGAATCCATTACATATCTAGGGATCTCTATGCCAAAAGATATAACTCAGATAGCAACATGCAATGTAAATAAAATATATATCACAGTTATTCCAGATATTGATAGATGGGGAAAGATGAACGCTCTCAAAAGGTATTATTATTCCTAGAATAATTTATATTCTAAGAGGAATTGCAGTCTTTGTATCTGGCAAATATTTTCAGGAAATAAATTCTTTAAAGGATATTTTTTATAGCTCAGGGTTGAAATGAAATTCTTTTGTTTAGAAAATTTCTATGGGGTTCTTTGATTCCAAGAATATCTTTGCAAAAAATTCAATTACCAATTAAAGAAGGAGAATTTTGTTTTCTGAATCTGGAGTTATGTCATCATGCTGTATTTTGTAATTTCACATCAATTTTTTTTACCTTACTTTATCGTATCAATAGATAGAATAAAACTGTGTGGTTGTGTGGTGGCACAGTGCTTAGAATGCAGCATTACAGATTAATTCTGCCGACTGCCAGCAGTTTGATTCTGAGCAGCTCAAAGTTGACTCAGCCTTCCATCCATCTGAGGTAGGTAAAATGAGGATCCAGATTGTTGGGGGCTATATGCTGACTCTGACTAAGAGAGGCCTGTAAAGCACTGTGAAGCAGTATATAAGTCTAAGTGCTATTGCTATTGCTATCAATATTATTTATTTTTTTAAAAATAGTCCTATATTACAATGACTATTTTATGCTGGTCTACAACCAAAATAAACAAATCAGATGTTGGTTTATGGATTTTGGTTTTGGTTATTTTATTTTCAAAATTTTGTTTCTGTGGTAGTGTTATTTGATGTATTCCACCTGGACTTGCAATTGCAGGTAGTCCTCAAGTTATAACCATTCATTTAATGTTTGTTTAAAATTACAATGGCACTGAAAAAAATGTCTTATGACCATTTTTTTTTTGCATCTTGAATTTTTAACAAACCATAACCTTTATTTGGGATTATTCTCTGCAATCCTACATATCATAATCTTTTTGTAGAAGAATCAAAAACTGTCTTTCTAAATAAATCCACCAAAGTCAGCAGACATTTTCCTTTCAGGACAGGATCCCTCAGCAACAAATTATATATAAATAGTGACCTCAAGGCACATAATCAATCCATCAGTCTAATAGAGACCCATGTGGCTTCCGATTTAAGAGAACCCCATCCTGTGGGATTTAATTTCTCCTGTTCACCTCCCAGAAAAAAAAAGGGGGGGGGAAGGATCCATCTGCAAGAGAGATAGGATTTCTCCTTGCATAGTTTCAGATCTACAATCTCACAGGAAGGAAGCCCAACAAGAATGTCTCCCATCTATCGGGAGCTTATTTTGCAGAAAGAACTGGTTAAACTAAATTATTTCTGTGCCGCTCTCTGTTTAAAAATCAATAAAACTTGAACCAATGAGCCTTATCGAGAAAAGGCTAAAAAAGATAATACTGTATTTTTCCGTCTATAAGACGCCCCCATGTACAGCCCGCCCCGCACTTTTCTTACCCAAAATTCAGAAATCTGGAATATCACTGCATTTAAGTGCCGGTAGATGCCGGCCTTTCCTCCGGTGGGCCTGGGCAACTGCTGGAGAGACACGGGCCCGTTTCAGCACCTGGTGCCCAGATGCCCTGGCTTCCCTCAACTTCTTGTGAAGTTGGAATTGATTGAACTTTTTTTTTAGTCCCACAAACTTATTTCTCTGCACACGACGGCAAGAAATACGAGTGAGAAACATGACGGATCTGGAAATCAGGTTAGCAAAGAAATGCTTGAGGGAAACGAGGGCATCTGGGCAGTAGTCGGTGCTACAATGGAGAAACAGGAAACAGAGCGGCTGGCACGAGGGAAGGAGGCCGCTTTCCCTCTTTCTTCTCCCTGCTCCTCCTCCTTTCCTCATGCTGGCCTCTCCCATTTCTCGTTTCTCCATTACAGCGCCCAGGATCCACTTCGATAGCGGGGGTGGGGTGGGGTTGTATTTCACAACTGGTTTGCCCAAGGTCAGGTTGGCCGTTGCGGGAGGCTTGTCCAGCATGTGTGGCGGAGTTGGAGGACTGGGCCACACCTTCTCCTCTCGCCCCCCTCCCCCCGGTGTATAAGAAGCCCCTCCATTTTCAGGTAAATATTTTAAAGAAAAAGTAGTGTCTTATACACGGAAAAATACAGTACATTGGAGAGAAGGGCATGCTCAGAACAAGTTAATAGCAACTTTCTTTTCTAAAGCATCTTGACTAAAAGAGTTGAAACATCTGCCAAGTTGGCCCAAAAATGCCAACATCATTCCAGCAACGTTAAACAAAGGGGAGGATTCAGTTTGCCCACTCACCGAGATTCTTCCCAGGGCAGGGAAGCCGGGGTGCTGCCCCTCCAGGGCGCAGCTCACCGCCCGCAGGACACGAGGCAGGTCTGTGCCGAAGGTACGAAAGATGACCGCAAACTCCCTCCCTTCTCGATGCAAGCTTTCCAGGAGGTGGAAGAAGGAAGGCAGCACCAAGTGGTAGTGCCTGGCCTGCTCACCTTTGACGGAGAGCTGAGGGTGAGGCTGACCCTGCCACTCTAGCAGCTTCAAGTGTTGCCTGTGAAGGTCCCGGAATGTCTTCCCCAAGGGCAACTCTGTGAATTTGGTGTTGCGGCCATACTGAGAATAGAAACTCACAGCGCCTTGGCAGGGAGGATGCAAAGAGGGAGACTCACTGACCCACTGCCACTCCCCTAGAAGAGAAAGGAAAAGGGCAGATGAAGCTCTACGTGAAAACACAGGGGGTCCTTGAGTTACAACCATAACTGGGACCAGAATTTCCATCGCTAAGCCATGTGGTTGTAAAGTGTTATGTCACGTGACTGCATCACTTAGGAACAGCAATCCTGGCTTTGTTGCAGTCATGAGGTGAATTCCATGAGTTGTTAACCGATCCCTATTCAAGCCATTCCAGGTTTGGTCCCTCCCAGTCCCAAGCCTCAGGTCTTCCCAGGGAAGGGGCTGCCTCCCCTTCAACAGACCCAACTGCCTATTTTTCCCCCATCTCCGCTCTTTTGGCCACCCTGCGGCCTGTCCTGCAGAGTGGCAAACTGCCCCAGAACCACACAGGGGCTCAGGGGCAGGGGTGAAATCCAGCAGGTTCTGACAGGTTCTGGAGAACCGGTAGCGGAAATTTTGAACAGTTCGGAGAACTGGTAGCGAAAATTTTGAGTAGTTCGGAGAACTGGCAAATACCACCTCTGACTGGCCCCATCCCCATCTATTCTCTGCCTCCCGAGTCCTAGCTGCTTGGGAGGAAATGGGGATTTTGCAGTAACTTTCCCCTGGAGTGGGGAAGGAATGGGGATTTTACAGTATCCTTCCCCTGCCATGCCCACCAAGCCACGCCCACCAAGCCACAGAACCAGTAGTAAAAAAAATTGGATTTCACCACTGCTCAGGGGTGTCTTGGCACCTGGAAGAATTTTCTGAGCTACAGTGCAATCTTCAATCTTCAAAGCCAGTGTCACCCCTTGAAGGCTCAGCTGCCCCAGCCTCATCTAGTATAGATTGTCCTCGACTTATAATCACAACTGAGCCCAAAATTTCTAAACTGGCTCATTGCTAAGCGAAGCAGTTGGTATCCCATTTTATGACTTTTTTACCACGGTTGCTAAGCAAATCACTGCAGTTGCTAACTGAATCATGTGGTCATTAAGCAAATCTGGCTTTCCCCAATGACTTTGCTTGTCAGAATCAGGAATCAGGATTTCGGAAGGTTACAAATGATGATTGCATGACCCCAGGACAGTGCAACTGTCATAAATACATGCCAGTTGCCAAGCACCCAAATTTTGATCATGTGTCTATAGGGATGCTGCAACAGTCGTGTGTCTATGGAGTTTCTCAGTCACCCAGGTCACAGCTGCAACAAAGGTGCTTTTTCAAGAAGCAAATGGACTTTCTGGATTTTCTTTGAAGATGTTTTGCTTCTCACCCAAGGAGCTTCTTCAGCTTTGTGGGCTAGTCATCTCTTCATTAAATGCCACTGTAACTTTGATCGCTGAACGGATGGTTTCTTAAACGAGGTCTACCTGTGAGTTTGTTCCCCACTTTTAGCATCGTTTTCTTGCTGACTTGATTTCCATTAAGATATTGGGGCAAATGTGAATCTCCCCTTCTTTAACCATTTACCTATATGATGTTCCGATCAAGGAGAATATTTGTAGCTCAGTGTTGACCTGAAAGGACCTTGGTGCTTTCTTAGCTTGCTTGTCTTCTTGCAGTCCTTTCATTACCCAAACTAGGTAATAGCATCAGTTCTAATAAGGAGTGCAGTTTGTTGTCAGTTTATATTCTGGTGTCTTGTCTGTCTGTCTGTGTGGGTAGAGGTGGTCTTAGAGATTCTTTGGTTGGGCTGTTTACCAGGGGTGAAATGCTCCCGGTTGGGACTGGATCACCCGATCCGGTAGCGATGGCAGCAGGTGGTTTGGAGCAAAAATCCCTGCCCCCCCCACACCATGCCCAGCTGAGCCGAGGAATCATCAGAGGCTTTTTTAAAATTATTTTTAAAAGCATTTTTTCCACAACCTCTTCGGCCGAAGAATGCTTTTAAAAGTAAAAAAAAAAAAAAGCCTCTGATGATCGAGCGGCTCAGCTGGGCTCGTCAGAGGCTTTTAAAAGCATTTTTTTTACAACCTCTTGGGCCAAAGAGGTTGTAGAAAAAACGGTTTTAAAAGTAAAAAAGTCTCTGCTGATCAGGCAACTCAACTGGGATCGTCAGATGCTTTTAAAAGCATTTTTTCTACAACCTCTGAAGAGGTTGTAGAAAAAATGCTTTTAAAAGCCTTTGACGATCCCAGCTGAGCCGCGCTATCATCAGAGGCTTTTTTTTTTTACTTTTAAAAGCATTTTTCGGCCGAAGAGGTTGTGGAAAAAATGCTTTTAAAAATAAAATATAAAAAAGCTTCTGATGATTGCGCGGCTAAGCTGGGTGGGTGGGTGGGGCAGGGATTTTTGCTACCAGTTCTCCAAACCACCCACCTCCATCGCTACCGGATCAGGCGATCCGGTCCGAACCGGGAGCATTTCACCCCTGGTCCACAGATGTTCTTAATTTCTATGTGTCTATTGATGGCTGATTTGTCAGATTGCCAGGCTTCTAGAAATTCCCTGGCATTTTTGGATTTGGCCTGGTCTAGGATTGTCAAAGAACCATTGGAAAACAGCCCAACCAAAGAATCCCTAAAACCACTCCCACCCACACAGACAAGACACCAGAATATACACGGTATCAGGTTTCGATGTCATCGAATAAGTAGGTGAAAAGTCAAGCCTCGTCTTTTTATGGCAGCATCAGAATGCTGACACACGGACAGCAAACAGCACTCCTTACTAGTACTGATGATGTTACCTAGTCAGGGTAATCAAAGGACTGCAAGAAAACAAGCTCAGAGAGTACCAAGGACCCCCTCACCTATATGATGTATTTGTATCCTGCAATGACCTCCCACAAACAGTTTTGTTCTCAATCAATCTCTATGTTCCCCTGAATTACCAGTACATCCTTATCGCCAGGGAATAGAACCAGCTGGACAACAGAAATGGATCTTTAATGGTCCTTACCACCCCTCAAACTTCTGTACTTCAACCAGAGAAAGATAAATGGCTGCTGGCAATTATAAAATGGCCTGAGAACTTCAAAGCTTTTTTTCAAACCTATTTGGGCATACAGCTTATTATGGATAGCAATCCCACATGGATGACATAAACCAATTTAATTACTCCTCAGTGGACAGAGTTTAATTTAAAACTGCAAACTTTTAATCCTTTGTTACCCCCAATAGGTATAATTCTTCATTTCCATCCCTAACAGTTTCTATATCAAAATAAGTCCCAGAAGTATAAATTAAAAGTATATACTGATTTTATTTTTAACGTGAATTGAGCAATGGTGAAAAATGCAGGTTGAGACCGAACACAACCAAATTAACACTTGTTTTGCCGCAGGTCCTGCCCATCTAACAGTTCAAAACACCATGTAAATGTGAGTAGAAATATAGGTACTACTTCTGAGGGAAGGTGACTCGAAAAGGATACCCCAATCAGAGTGGGCCAACAGATTTTGGCCTTTTTATCTGTATGGATGTAGGTGGGGGAAGACAGGAGTTTGCTCATTAAGGAGCAAAATGAGTGCAAAGTCTTAAGACATTCATTTTGCTTCTTAAAACTTCCTTCAATATCCATTCACCCCACTCCCCTGTTTACTTTTGAAATGTAGCTATTAATTGGTTGTATATAGCCTGGTTTAAAGCTTTATGCAAATGAAAGTTGCACATGCCTATTTATACCAGAGGTCTTCAAACTTGGCAGCTTTAAGACTTGTGGATTTCAACTCCCAGAATTCTGTGGACTTCAACTCCCAGCATAGCTGGCTGGAGAATTCTGGGAGTTGAAGTCCACGTGTCTTAAAGCTGCCAAGTTTGAAGACCTCTGATTTATACTGTTAACCTAAAACCAGGAAGTCCCTAGATGAGCCCCATTCAGCATTGAAGGGACTAAGGCTCTTGAATCATTTGTCATTCCCTAGCCAGTACTTTTTCAACCTTGGCAACTGTGGACTTCAACTCCCAGAATTGCCCAACCGCTATTCCTCATGTGGCTGAGGAATTCTGGGAGTTGAAGTCCACACATTTTAAAAGTTGCCAACTTTGAAAAACATCGAGCGAGCCTATTTCCTCTGGGAACTGTGAAAATTAGAACTGGGGGAAATAAAACCTTACAGGCCAACGGTGGGTTAAAAATGGAATAAGTATCACAGTGTATATCTGCTTTAGTCTCAAATGTCATTGGTCCTATCAAGGTGATGCTTCTGTTATAAGCACAGCAGCTTCCTGACTCAGCTTTTAAAGAGGCAAATAAGAAACTCAGCAGTCTAGCTCTTTAAGGCAGAATGTATTCCTTGCTAAGAAGCCGAGTGTCCGTCAGCTGTTGGTGACATCATTTAAACTTAACGCTTATTAAGTTCCACTGCTTCCTTTGCAATCTTCGGTTAACACAAAACTGTTCCAAATGTACTATGATGCTTTTCAAAATCCTCTCTGCTGATGCCCACCACTTCTCCAAAAACAGAACTCAATCAATCAATCAATCAAATTAGAGCTGGAAGGGACCTTGGAGGTCTTCTAGTCCAGCCCTCTGCTCAAGCAGGAAACCCTATATAGTTTCAGACAAGTGATTGTCCAGTTTCTTAAAAGCCTCCAGTGATGGAGCACCCACAACTTCTGGTGGCAAGCAGTTCCACTGGTTAATTGTTCTAATTGTCAAGAAATTTCTCCTTAATTCCAGGTTGCTTCTCTCCTTGATTAGCTTCCATCTGTTGCTTCTTGTCCTGCCTTCAAGTGCTTTGGAGAATAATTTGACCCCCTCTTCTTGGAGCAGCCCCCCAGATACTGGAAGACTGCTATCATGTCTCCCCTACTTCTCCTTTTCTCCAGATTGGCCAAACCCAAATCTCAATCAATCAATCAATCAGAATAGAGCTTGAAGGGACCTTGGAGGTCCTCTAGTCCAGACCTTTAATCATCTTAGTAACTCTTCTTTGCACTTCTTCCAAAGTCTCAACATCTTTTTTTGTGATGATATGACCCAGCCTCTCTTCCCTTCCCTGCTTCCTTCTCATTTACTCTGCTGCAGCTCTTTATTTATAATGTGTTTAACATGCATTAGGCTCTGTTACTATTGTGCTAGACAC